GGGGATGGTCCCACAGCCCCCAGCACCCCAGGTGGATTTGGGCAGCCCAGGCTGCCCCCCCAGCAGCCCCAGGTGCCTGAGCACAGGAGCAGCTTCCCCTGAGCAGCGCAGCCCGGGCTGCAGCACAGGAAGCCCTTGACTCAAAACAAAAGGGCACAAAGGTAATTAATCCATTTCTGCATGAACACTGTATTGCTCACTTTACAGACAGGCTCACAGAGCCCCAGCCTCTGACTGCTCCGTGATTTCAAGCCCTTTACTCACTACAAATCATCTTTTGATGATGAAACCAACTGCGTAAACTTTGGAAGAAAGACCCTGCACGAATATGGCCAAATTAGGAAAGCCCTCCCACAACAGCTGTGCTCAAAACCACACGTATTGCTGGTTTATTTTTTAATCTACATCACTGCATCTATTTCTGACTACAAACGGGATGACTCATTTGATCACGACCAGTGAAAAAACTCTGAGTGTGTATCACCACAAAATATTTCTTAGAGTTGATGCAGTGTTTTCTTTCCTTCCTACTTCAATCCTGTATCTCTGTAAATCGGCCACAGGCAAAAGCAGCCCATGCAAAAATTTAGGTTATCTTACTCAATATTTAATAGAAAAGGAGCTGCCTGGATTTAACTGGCCTTTGTCTGCCTTTTTGATTCGTTTCTTCCATTTATTTTCCTGTCATTTCCCTTTGATTGCTCTGTGCCAACTGGGGATCCAGGAGATGAAAATTTCTTCCAAAATATTTCAACCAAATCTGTAGCTTTACTACTACGTTCACGGAAGGGGGAAACACTTAACTGAAAGCAGCTGCAGAGCCGTATTTTCTACTTCATTTATCCCTTTATGTTTGTACAAAGGAGAAAAATTGAAAATTAGCCAAGAATGTAATAGCACAGATTCCCTCCTGGAAAACACGGCAGAGTGTGCAGGAATCCCTTTACCCACAGCTCCAGCCCCTGTTCCTGCAGCTCCCAGAGGCTCCCAGAGGGGCAGCCCCATCCAGGGGTGCTGCTGGGCTGGTCCCTGCTGCACCTCGGGGCGTGCTGGGTGCACCTCAGCCACCCACCCACAGCAGCAGGAACACCCACCAGGGCCGGCCATGTCTGCTGTCTGGGGCCAGATTGTCAATGAATTAATGCATTTCTGTCGATATTCACCAGTGCCGGCCATGTCTGCTGTCTGGGGCCAGATTGTCAATGAATTAATGCATTTCTGTCGATATTCACCAGTGCTGGCCATTCCTGCTGTCTGGGGCCAGATTGTCAATGAATTAATGCATTTCTGTCGATATTCACCAGTGCTGGCCATTCCTGCTGTCTGGGGCCAGATTGTCAATGAATTAATGCATTTCTGTCGATATTCACCAGTGCTGGCCATTCCTGCTGTCTGGGGCCAGATTGTCAATGAATTAATGCATTTCTGTCGATAATCACCAGTGCTGGCCATTCCTGCTGTCTGGGGCCAGATTGTCAATGAATTAATGCATTTCTGTCGATATTCACCAGTGCTGGCCATTCCTGCTGTCTGGGGCCAGATTGTCAATGAATTAATGCATTTCTGTCGATATTCACCAGTGCTGGCCATTCCTGCTGTCTGGGGCCAGATTATCAGTGAATTAATAAATTTCTGTCGATATTCACCAGTGCTGGCCATTCCTGCTGTCTATGGCCAGATTGTCAATGAATCAATCAGTTTCTGTCGATATTCACCAGTGCTGGCCATTCCTGATTGCCAATGAATCAATCAATTTCTGTCGATAATCACCAGTGCTGGCCATTCCTGCTGTCTATGGCCAGATTGTCAGTGAATTAATAAATTTCTGTCAATATTCACCAGTGCTGGCCATTCCTGCTGTCTGGGGCCAGACTGTCAGTGAATCCATCGAGGAGCAGCTCAAGCAGCCCTTTGCAATGGGCACTGCTGGTGTGGATGTGCCCGGGACGCATCAGGGCTCCCTGGGCTGATCATCTCCACAGCTTCAGCCTCCTGGGGAGCAGCAAGCCCCTCCAGCTGCAGCTTCACCCCCTTCCCCACAGATGCCTCTATTTCCTCACAGCAAAGCAGGGCAGCCTCAATGGCAGGCAGAGCTCTGGCCCTTGCTGGGACTCCTGAGGAAATCACAAAATCCTTTAGAATCTCTTTGTGCGCCCCCGCTCTGTCTCTCCTTCAGGCTCACCTGCTCTGTGCCTGCCTGCTGCCCCAGCCTCCCCCTGTGCCAGCCGGGGCAGCCAGGTGCCAGTGTGCCACCAGGGCACGGGGAGATGTGAACAGCACAGCGCTGCTCCCAGGTGGGCTCATCTGCCCTGTATCACTGTCACACCCTGCCCTGTGTCACTGTCACTCGTCCTGCTCTTTGTGCCAGCATCAATTACAACTGCTCCAGATGTATATTTATTGTAAAAGGAAGCCCCTAGAAGGGTTTAACTCTTTTTCTAATGTTAGTTTTGTGCTGCTGGAAAGCCTTGGCTGCACAGGGAGTGCCCAGTCCTGCTCAGCACCTGGAGCTTTACAACTGCTGCTCAAAACAAAACCAACCCAAAATGCCCACCCCAGCTGTCCCTGTCACCTCCAACATCCCCTGCTAGCTGGATTCCCCCTCACACACAAAAACGTTCCCTCCACACCTGTCCAAGGCATGAGCTGGGTTCCCTGTGAGCCTGGCAGACCATGGGGACCTCCCTGCACAGTGTCCCTGCAGTGCTGGCAGCGTGGCAGTGCCACTGCTCCTGGGCCCTGCACAGTGTCCCTGTGCTGGTGCAGCATGGCAGTGCCACTGCCCTGTCACCCCTGGGCCCTGCACAGTGTCCCTGCAGTGCTGCTGGCAGCGTGGCAGTGCCACTGCTCCTGGGCCCTGCACAGTGTCCCTGTGCTGGTGCAGCATGGCAGTGCCACTGCCCTGTCACCCCTGGGCCCTGCACAGTGTCCCTGCAGTGCTGCTGGCAGCGTGGCAGTGCCCCTGCTCGTGCCACCCGTGCCTCTGGCGCCCTGCAGTCCCTGGGTGAGTTCTTTCCTATGTCCCACGTGCGTGTGTGCCCCGGGAAAGGCAGATAATGTCACCCCATTGCCATGTCAAACCTCCCCAGGGCTGCCAAGCCCTTCAGGAGCTTGAAAAACAATATCCCTGTGCTGTTTGTTCGCTGTGCTCGCTCCCAGATGCCTCTGCAAGGTCAGCTTCAAACGCCCTCCCTGCAGGGACTTCATCCTTCCAGAATTCTCCTCTGCCATTGCTTTTTAACCCAGATTTGTTTGAGGATGTTCCAATGCCTCTTCCAAAACTGTTCAGACACTCACTGAGGGGCACATTCGTGCTGTCCAGAGGGGCTGCCAGCCCCAGGGCCCTTGGCCTTTCTGCTGGAAAAGCATCTCCAGCTCCGTATGGCCCTGGGAGGTCGGGTTCCCTGTTCCCCTTCTCTGCAGGAATGCTGCGAGAAACTTCAGGAAAAAATGTACCAAGGAGGGAGAAATTAAATCAAGGAGAGCTCAGGATTTTTGTTTGGATTGCAGCTCTAAGGAGCCAGCTCTGAGCTGGGGTTGTGCTCCTGGCTCACAGCTCACAGCAGGCAGTGCACCCTGCTCTCTGTTGTTTCAGGTTTTCCTGGGCTCGGGCACAAGGAGCGAGGGAGAATGGCCGGGATCAGTGGGAAGGGGGAACGGGGCAGGGAGCAGGAGCTGTGGAGCCTCCCTGCCTCCCTCACCTGCACAAAGGGGCTTTGTGCTGCCCCTCCCGGCCTCAGCAGGGGCAGGCAGGAATGTTTGCTGGAGCAGGCAGGAATGTTTGCTAAAGCAGTAAAGACCTCACCAATCCATGGAAAAAAACCCCCAAAACACAAAAGGCAATAGATTGTCATTCAGTGCTCAACACACATTGAAATAACAAGAGAAACGTGGGTTTGGACAGTTTCTTCTGCTAAAAACATTCCGTGTCTGTCTGCTGTGATAAAGTGCCCCAGCACATTCCTGTCTGATTCGGAAATCCATTTCCCTGTGCTCGGTGTCAGCCATGCCTGGGATGGGAGCGTGGTGGGACAGAGGGACAGGGGACGGAGGGACAGAGGGACAGGGGACAGAGGGACAAAGGGACTGAGGACAGAGGGACAGGAGACAGAGAGACAGAGGGACTGGGGACAGAGGGACAGGAGACAGAGGGACAGAGGGACTGGGGACAGAGGGACAGGGGACAGAGGGACAAAAGGACTGAGGACAGAGGGACAGGAGACAGAGGGACAGAGGAACTGGGGACAGAGGGACAGGGGACGGAGGGACAAAGGGACTGGGGACAGAGGGACAGGGGACAGAGGGACAGTCCCAGGCCAGCCACAACAGGCAGCTTGGCTGTAGAGCCAGGGACTGCCAGTGCTTGTGTACCCCAACCCACCAGCCCCATCCCTGCCCACAGCCCTTTCTGGCACTGCTGCTTTGGGGCGGGAACTTTCACCGATTCCATTCTTGCTTGCCCTCTTTTTTACACCCCAGGGACTGTGCTGTCCGAGCACAGAATCTCAGATTTGATTATTGAACAGGATTACCTTTACTCAGTTTCATCCTCCCTGGCGTGGGCAGGGACACCTTCCACTATCCCAGGTTATTCTAAGTCCTGCCCAGCCTGGCCTTGGGCACTGCCAAGGATCCAGGGGCAGCCACAGCTGCTCTGGGGACCTGTGCCAGGGCTGCCCACCCTGCCAGGGAACAATTCCTCTGCAGTGTCCCATCTCCCCGTGCCTTCTCTGAGGCCATTTTCGCCATCCCATCCCGTCCCTGTCCCTGTCCCTGTCCCTGTCCCCGTCCCTGTCCCTGTCCCCGTCCCCGTCCCCGTCCCCGTCCCCGTCCCTCTGTCCTCGCCGCGGCCACACACCCCCCCCCCCCCAGCGCTTCCCCGCTCACCATTGGCCAGGAAAGTTTCGGGGCGGGCTCGGATTGGCTGAGAGCGGCGCGCGGCCGCCGCGCCCGCCAATGAAAGGCGGCGCTCGGGCAGCGCGAGCGGCGGCGGCGCGGGAGCGGCGGAGCGGCCGGAGGTGAGTGAGGGGCACGGGCAGCGGGACAGAGCGGGGGACAGCGGGAATGATCCCCACCCCTGTGCCGGGACAGCGGGAATGATCCCGATCCCCGTGCCGGGACAGCCCGCGAACAGCCCCGGGACAGCGGGAATGATCCCGATCCCCGTGCCGGGACACCGGGAAACATCCCGATCCCTGTCCCGGGACAGCCCCGGAGCGATCCCGATCCCTGTCCCGGGACAGCCCGAGCACACCGGGAGCGATCCCGGTCCCTGTCCCGGGACATCCCCGGAGCGATCCCGGTCCCAGTCCCGGGGCACGGCGGTACCGATCCCGATCCCTGTCCCGGGACAGCCCCGGAGCGATCCCGGTCCCGATCCCTGTCCCGGGACAGCCCGGGCACACTGGGAGCGATCCCGATGCCTGTCCCGGGACATCCCCGGAGCGATCCCGGTCCCAGTCCCGGGGCACGGCGGTACCGATCCCGATCCCTGTCCCGGGACATCCCCGGAGCGATCCCGGTCCCGATCCCTGTCCCGGGACAGCCCGGGCACACCGGGAGCGATCCCGATGCCTGTCCCGGGACAGCCCCGGAGCGATCCCGGTCCCAGTCCCGGGGCACGGCGGTACCGATCCCGATGCCTGTCCCGGGACAGCCCCGGAGCGATCCCGATGCCTGTCCCGGGACAGCCCCGGAGCGATCCCAGTCCCGGGGCACGGCGGTACCGATCCCCGCGCCCGAAGATGCCCGGGCACAGCGGGCGCGCCGCGCGCCCCGCCCGGCTCAGGGAGCCCGGGGTTATTCCCGGTATCCCTCATCTCCGGCCGTGCTGCCCTCGCAGTGCGAGCCGGGGCACGGAGCCCGCCGCTCTGCCCTCCTCCCTGCCCTTGAGGGCACCCGGAGCGCTCGGTGCCCGCCCGGTGCTCATTCCGGTGCCAAAATCGCTGCAGCGGCGCGTCTGCGGGCAGGGCAGCGGTTTGTGCTGTGAACGAGCCCGTGTGCGGCACAGCTGGGCTGGGCTCTGGGGAACGGAGGGAGGCAGGCAGGGAGTCCCTTGTCCCCTTTAGACCCTGCGCAGTGTCGGCTCCGGGAGGTGCCGGCCCTTCCTCCCGCAGTGCCCCGCTGCCCTGGCACTGCGCTCTGGGAGGATTCTGGCTGCCGGGCCGGAGCCAAGTGTGCAATGGCAGCGGCTGCTCCCGTCACCTTCCTCTCTGCGCCTCTGTCCCGCGTGGCTCGGGGTGAGTTCCGCAGCCCTGTCAGCCTGTGTGATGCCATCTCCCCGGGCCGTGCCCTGGGGCACCCCAGACCCTGCCCTGGGGGGGTGCTGCCCTCTGCCATGGGGTATTTGGGCAGTGCTGGCCCTGGGTCCCACCCTGCCTGTCAGACCGGGCAGCTCAGCCTGGCTGTTCCCCTCTGTCCCGCTGGATTTGAGCTGAGCCGCTGCTGAACCCGAGGAAAACTTACCCGGTGTTACTGCGAGCTTTAACTGGTGTCAGTGTGAGCCTTACCCGGTGTCACCGTGAGCCTTGCCCGGTGTTACTGCGAGCCTTACCCGGTGTCACCGTGAGCTTTGCCCGGTGTCACCGTGAGCTTTGCCCCGTGTTACCGTGAGCCTTACCTGGTGTTACCGTGAGCTGGCTGCTCTGGCAGGCCAGCCGGGCACAGGCTGCTGTTTGGCAGCAGGAGCTGCTGTCTGTGTGACCCACGGATGCTGGGCTGGGTTCCTCAGCACCCCCTGCCCTGCTCTCCTGACATCCACGATGCTTCGAGGTGGGACTGGGGCACTCAGGATTCCTCCTTCCCTGTGTGCTGCACTGTGGGGGACAGTCAGTGCTGGCTGGCAGGGGCGGGCACCCCCGGTGCGGCACCACAGAGAGGCCCTGTCCCAGCAGGAGTGGTCAGGGTTTGGTGGGACCTGCTGCTGTGTCACCCCAGGCTCAGAGCAATGTCCTCTCCCAGCAGGTCCCTGTGGCTGGCACCTCAGCCATGTGCACGGGTCCTGGCTGCCATGGGGAGGGCACCTTTGGGTGCCAACTGCAGCCCTCGGGAAGCTCCTGCCAGGCCCTGAGTGGGGATGGGTGCCACAGGAGTGGAAATGGAGCCTTTCCTCGAGGCTGCTGCTGGGCTGTGTCAGGCTGGCCCTGCAGCAGCTCAATCCCTGCCTGGTCTGGACAAGGGGGCTCTGAGCGGGGCCCAGCTCTGCCAGCAGCCCCAGGCTGGGGGTGCCTCGGGGGGCTGCAGGAGCAGGGCTGGGTTTGGGCAGCAGGGAGGGCTGAGCAAATCCCTGCTGTGGGATGAGCCCTGGTGAAGCTGGACGCTCAGCTCCCATTGGGGAAGGGCCAAGGACAAGATGTCACCTTTACTGTCACTTAAATTACTGCTCATAGGGCAGCCAAGGTGCATTGTGCTGGGGACCCTCGCTGTGGGCAGGGCATGCCAGGCTCTGCACAGCTCTGCACAGCCCAGCTGAGTGTCCCCTCTCACCTGGACACTGCAGGGGGAAAACAGACACGCCAGCCAGCTTGTACTTCAGAAGGGATATGAAATGACATAATGAAAACAAGGAAAGAGAACAATGCAGACGCTGTATCAGTGTCTGCATAATGACGTCCCAACATTAATGGGTGTCTCTGCAGCAGACGGCTGTTTCATTTCCTGAATCCTAAGGCGGGCACTTTTTCTGGGCATGGTGTGGAATACTGTCAAGTTTTAATTTAGCTTGGCAGTGTCACACAGCCAGTCTGAGCAAGTCGGGAAGGCAAGTCTGGAACTCATTAGAGCTTGTCGCGAGGCCCCGAAAATTTGATTTTCAATCACCGTTGGGTTTAATTATTGTTGATGTCTTGCCTAGAGTATTCTGGGATTCTTTCTGAGGAAATTAAAGCAGCATGAGTGGGACAGCGTTCTGTTTGGCACGGGGCTTGTTTAGATTAAACTGTAGTGGAGAGTTGGAGCTCAGAGCAGGGGGAAGGCGATGGCTGGCACGGCGTGAGGGCTGGAGCGGGCCCAGCTGGCCAGGCTGCCCCTGGGCTTGTGTACTGTTCTCACTAAACTCTGTCCCTCTTGTCAGAACAAAATAACCCACCGAGCTAAAAGCACCCGTCTGAGCCAAGGTAAAGTTTACTCAGTTAATACAAATTTTGGTTCTTTAACTTTTTCTTCCTTGGGTTCTCCACGTGGGACTGGCAAACACCCAAATCCTCCTGCAGGACACGGAGCAGGGCTGCTGTGGCAGGGCTACATGCGCTCCAGGGTATGCTCTGGGGGGCTTGCTGCCTCAGGGAGGGGCAGGAGCTCCCTGTTCATCAGCAAACCCTGGGTGCTTGAAGAGCCCTCTGCAGGTGTGTGCAGATGTGGATCTTAATGGAGAAACTTGGGCTCTGGGCAAGTATTTATAGACAGGGAATCATAAAGCAGCACAGGGGTTAAAGACCTTATTTTGGGACTTGGACCCAGAGCTCAGCAGAGTCCAATGAAATGCAATTTACAAATTACAAAATCCCTCTGGTCCTGCGGAGAGGCAGTGTCTGGAGTATTTGCTTAGGCTGGGGATTTTCTCCTTTTTTAAAGGAGGAAATACTGTATTTCAGCCATGCAGGAAAGGCAGCGCTCAGATGTCCCATCTTGGAGCTGCTGTTCCGTTTGGAGATGGGCTCAGAGAAAGGGGAATGTGTCCTGGCAGCTGTTTGCAGTTTTGGAGAGCTGGGGTTCCCTAGTGCTGGCACCAGCCTGATTGCTCACTTGTACCCTCTCACCTGCCCCCAGCACCCACCCCATGGCTCGGTTACGCCAGGTGGGCACAGGAGGGTGAGCTCTCCCCAAAGCATCCTGATGGCTGCCAGTGTTCGGGGTGGCACAGTCCTGCCATGGCTTCAGGGCATCAGCAGCCTCAAGATTCTGTTTGTGTGCTCCTTCTGGAGCCCTGCAAACGTGCTCCTCCAAACCTCCTCACTTTGTGTCCAGCCTGTGTGAGATTGTGAGGCTGTGGGGCTGCCACAGAGCGGCTGCAGTGCAGGAAGGGGGGGGACAGGGGTGGGGACAGGGGAGGGGGCCCTGCCCTCGTGCCACCTTCAGCTTCCTCCCGTTCTCTCCACCAAAGACCCCTCTCCTGCTGCTCAGAGGGGATTTAGCCCTAGGCCAGTTGTTATATGGAGGTTTGGTGGAAGCAGCTCCTGTCAGTGTCCTGAGGGCTCCCCATTCCCAGTGGCACCCAGAACCTTCTCCCCAGGTGGGAGAGGGGGAGCACCCAGCTGGTCCTGGGCAGGTCACTGGAGACCACCCTGAGAGCCTTCCCTGGGTGCTCTGGGACTCAGCACATCTGCTGGTTCAGCAGCTTTGGGGGGCTCTTCCCGTTCCAGACACTTCCTCACATCTTGCTTTGGGTTTATAATTGAGTCCAAGTATCTGAAGCACTGTCTGGCTTTGTGAAAGAATCTGATTTTTCAGCATTTGCCCTTCTCTTATCATTAATTCACACATTGTTAGTGAAGAAAGGAATGCTGCCAGCTATGTGCTCTTGGAGGAGGGAGCTATTTGCAGAGGCCCTGGTTGTTGGAGCTCTGTCATCCTGTGGGTTGGGATCTGGCAGCTCCATTGAAATAGTTTCCTTCATTATCAGTGCCTTTACCTGCTCTTTATGTTGCTAAAATGAAAGGCAGCAGACTTCTTACTCTGCAGAGTTTAATACAATAAGTGCTTCCAGTATTCCAGATGATATCAACCCATTCACTGATGCCTGAAATAAATCCAATAGAGAGAATTTGGGATGAAGGACAGCCTTTTGTAAGGGAACTTTTTTCCTGTGACTGTGGTAATTGGGATAACGCTTGCTTGGAATCTGGCAGGGAAACAAATTGCTTGCAGGTCATGATTACAATGGATGTTTTCTATGAAAATGAGAAGAAAATAAATCAAAACATCCCTTTGCTGTTCTCAGAGCTGCGGTGGCGAATGTGTTCATTGGTTAATGCAGTCTGGGGGCAGCTGCTTGCCTTGCTCAGAGTTATTCCCCTTGCAGTCAAGGAGCCTCTGCTGAGAGCCAGAGCAGCCCCCAGTGTCCCACCCGAGCTGCCTCTGCAGGAGCCCAGGGGACGTTTGGGCTGCTCTGTGCCAGCACTGGGAGCTGGTTCTGAGCTGGCCCTCACCAGACACTGGGGGCAGTCATGGAACGTGTGAGCTTAAGGCCCCTTGCAACCCAAACCCTTCTGTCTGCTGGTCAGCAGCAGCAAGGGAAGAGTTCAGCCAAATGGCCAACATGTGAGCTGGGGCATGCAGCATTCCCTTGGATGGAAACCCTTGCACCCTCCAGTTAGTGGAAATCCAGCAGGAAGTCTGAGCTGGCCCCAAATCCATCAGGAAGTTTGAGCCAGCCCCAAATCCAAAGTCCTTAAGGAAGTTTGAGCTGGCCCCAAGTCCTTAAGGAAGTTTGAGCCAGCCTGCTGTTATTATGCAAGCTTAGCTCTATTATAGTCAAATCATGACGACAAATGATCTGCTCTCCATCCCATCCCTCAGCAATTGTGCTGAGCAGACTGGTCCCACCCCTGTGAATATTGTGTGGCTTTCCCCGTTCCTTTGTTCATGGGTCTGGTTCAGAGTTAGCTGTAAATCTCCAAGACTCACTGCAGCTGGAGGAACCTCTCAAAGGGCTCTGGAGCTCTCTCAGCCTCCCTGGAGCTCTCTCCTGCCACACTGGGACCGAGGGCAGGGTGTTGGTGCTGCAGGAAGGGTTGGATGGAGCTTGCCTGGCCACTGGGGAGCCCTGGCTGTGGGGAGAGGTGAAACGAGGACCTCAGCTCTGAAGGGCTGTTGTGAACTTGGAGTAACTTTTTGGAAACCAGCTTTTCCTCTTCCCTCCCTAAAAAGGAGGGGAAAACATACTTGAGGTGGTTACGTGTCTCCAGCACCATTTCGGTCTCCAAATAGGGTGTTGTGCAATAAATGCTTTTGGGATCCAGAAGCCTCTGTGGAAGCAGCAGGGCCCCCTCTGCCAGCCCCTCCTGGGCCCGTGGCTGTGGCACTGTGTCCCCCGAGCCCTTTGGGGGCTGGAGAGCCGTGGGTGGCTCAGGCAGCAGTGCCAGGAGGGGCGGCTGCCATGGGACACCCTTGGCACTGCCAGGATCTGCCCTGGTGGCACTCGTGCCCTGCTGGCACCGGGCACAGCACGCAGAGAGAGCCGAGTCCTGCCTGTCCCCTGCTGCCCCTGGGGTGTGCTGGGCTGGGGGTGTGCTGCGGGTGTGCTGGATCCCCCATGGTCCTGGATTAACCACCACGCTGGCCACGCTTGCTGAAACTCTGAACGTGATTTCAGGTCCGAGCTCCACAGGTTCTGCTGCCCCTGGGGACAGTCCCTGGCTCCAAACCCAGCTGTCAAACTGGTTTCAGCAGAGCCTTTGGCAAAGGGTCCTTGGCTGGGGTGGGCTGTGCTGGCCAGAAGGTGACAGAACCAGAGCCCTGTGGGGTCTCAGCTGGGCAGCAATCAGAGCAGGCTGTGCAGCTGCAGCCTGACCTGCTCAGGGCTCCTGGCCAGGGCTCCACCTCGCCAGACCTGCCAGGGAAGCTCAGTGCTCCTTTCCAGAGGAGTCCTCAAGCTCTGGAGCAGCTGGGGCTGTGTTTGGGTTCTTCCCTTGTCACTTGTCCCTCCAGGCTCTCCATTTCCAGCTGCTCAGTGACTGATGGCCGTGCCTTTGGCTGGTGTAGCGGCAACCCATGGCATGACTGGTGTGCTCCTGACACTGCTCAGCAATGTTTTTGTGGGTAGAACAGCCTCGATTTCCTATCATTTCACTACCCAAGAATTTCCTCTGCCCTGACTTGCTTTCTGTCTTCTAGCAGCAAGAATGCTGTGAGGCACAGAAAGCCAAAACAGAAATCTTGCAAGGAGCGTCTATCTCGTCCTGGTGAGCAGGATTTGCTTTTCTTCAGCCAGTTTGTTGACACAGGCCTGGTTTTGGGGTTTTGGCACCTTTTAAAAGCATTACAAATGTCTCCAAACCCTTTATCTTAAGGTGATGCCAAAGTTCAACTGCACTTCTCGGATGGGCTTGGGCATAGGTGGAGCCTGGGACAGAGCATTTGTTTCACATTATCTCACCGGCTTTGGGGTTTTTGCAGTGTCTTGCATAATTTTTGCACAGAAATCTCCTTTTATGCCGATGTGAGGAGCTGCAGCGGAGCGTGAGGAGCAGCTCAGTGCCTGGGCAGGACGTGCAGTGCCCGGGCACTGGCGCCTGTCGTGTCTGGCCCTGCGCAGGGACGGGAGTGAGAGTGGCTCAGCTCTCCCTTCTGGAGGAGTGAGGAGAGCACTGTCCTCCAGACAGAGCCTCCAGAGCTGCTGGCCCCAGGCTCTGAGCCTGCTGGGCACCCCTGGGGCTGTGAGTTCCTGCCCTGGCACTGCCCTGGCACTGCCCTGGCACTGCCCTGTGCCAGCTTGTCCAGGGAGCTGCCTGTGCTGCTGGGCACAGCTCTCCCTGTGCCCTTCCCCTTGAGTGAATGAGCCTTTTCCAAAGGAGTTTCCTTAATCCAGATGTTTGTATTTTAGATAAACCACCACTTGCAGTCCCTTGCTGATGCTCAGCTCCTGTTTGACTCACTAAGATCGGAGCCAGCTGAACCCCAGCAGTTCGTGGTACCTGGGACAGGGCTGGGAGTGCTCTGTGGGAATCCTCAGTGTCTGTCTGTCCTGCACAGCTGGCATAGGAGGAAGAGGAGCTGCAGCATCATCACTGGGTTTGCCTCTGAGCAGGATTCAGAGCCTGGGTCAGCCCAAGGGCCCCGTGGGTCCCTGCTGGGGAGCAGCAGCTGCTCTTCGCCTCAGTCCTTTCCCTGCTCTTGGTCCCTCCCTTTGAAATTAGCCTCTTGTGAGGTGCCAAAGGGTGATTTAAATAGTGCATGATGTTGCACTGCAGGACTGAGGCAGGGCAGAGGGTGCAGGGACTGCAGCCATGGGCAGGCACCACTCTGGGCACCTCCACAGCCTCACCCTGCTCTGCTGAGCCCTGAGCTCTCCGGGGCCAGCTGCAGGAGGATCCCCGTGGGCCCCTCCCAAGGCAGATATTCTGACAGTCTGACAGGCTCCCAGTGTGTGTGCACAACTCAAGAGACAGGTCCTAGAACAAGCTCCTGCCTCGAGGGAGATAAAGACCTTTCATAAAACCTGATCAATGGCCCCAGAAAGGCTGGGAGCTGTGGGCCCTGTGTGTGCCACAGCCCTGATGGGAAGGGCAATCTGTGGTGGGCACAGTGGTCAGAACCTGCCCAGCCCGGACACCTGGCTGTCCCTCCTGGGGATGGAGGTGCTGGGGGTGCTGGGCTCTGATCCCTGGCTGCAGGGGATGGAGGTGCTGGGGCAGCCCATGGGCTCTGATCCCTGGCTGCAGGGGATGGAGGGGATGGAGGTGCTGGGCTCTGATCCCTGGCTGCAGGGGATGCAGGGGATGGAGGTGCTGGGCTCTGATCCCTGGCTGCAGGGGATGCAGGGGATGGAGGTGCTGGGCTCTGATCCCTGCATGCAGGGGATGCAGGGGATGGAGGTGCTGGGCTCTGATCCCTGGCTGCAGGGGATGCAGGGGATGGAGGTGCTGGGCTCTGATCCCTGGCTGCAGGGGATGCAGGGGATGGAGGTGCTGGGCTCTGATCCCTGGCTGCAGGGGCTCGGGGCTGCCAGGCTGCGCTCACACTCCCCTGGTGCTGCCGCTCCTGCTGGGCTTGGCACCGTCCCTGCTTCCCCTCAGCTCGTTTTTCCAGGGAACGAGCGTGTCTTTCAGGCAGGAGCCTGACAGCTCCTGTGTAAACATCCAGGCTGAGATAAATTCAGCGTCTGCTGGTGTCACCTTGCCCTGGTGCCTCCTGCAGCACTTTGTTTCTGTCTCCTGCAGTACCCTGCTGCGTTCCTCACGCTCAAAAAGCCGTGTTTGATAAATCCATGGGGCAGGCAGGAAATAGGTTTGTTCTCCAGTGTTATGGCTCCTGGTGTGGGTTTTTGCTCGTCTTCGTCCTGTTGGGAGGTTGTTAGCATGTCTCTGCAGCAGTGATCACCCAAGGACGGGTGACTTTTGTCTGTTTTCAGTGAGCAGCAAAAAGTGCAGCACAGCCACAGCCCCCCCTGTCACTCCAGCACCCCCTCTGCTCCCCAGAGCATTTCCCCACTGTATTTCCTGTTCACTATGGAAACCACCCCTAAAGTCCAGTGCCAGAGGCATGGAACCCTCCCACATTCCCAAAATACCCTTGGACACACACCAAGGAGGTCCGAGGCGCAGTAAAGCAAGTTCAGCACCAGGTTATGGCAGTGCACCTCCATGTGTCCTGCCTGACCTTCTGACTCACACACATCCATTGCAGTACATGAACTCTGTAAGCTGGATCAGAATGGCACCTGAGGTCTCTGAGGATGGGGTGAAGGTGGCTGCCCGGTGTGTGGGCATGCTCCCAGGGTTTGAGGTGCCAGCCCCTCCACCTTCCCTCGCTTAGAAGGGAAACCCTTCACCCAGCGCCCTCAGATAAACTTTGCAGGGCTGTGTGGACGTGGTCAGATGGTGTTGGGGGATCTGGGGTTTCACGGGACACAAGGGCTGGCTGAGGGGATGGCTGTCTGCAGGGCAGTGTGCCCTGTCAGTGCTGTCCCAGGGAGCCCCGGGGACAGAGCCCTGCCAGCTGTGTGCTGCTGCAGCTGTGTGTGTGCTGCTCCAGCTGTGTGCTGCTGCAGCTGTGTGTGTGCTGCAGCTGTGTGTGTGCTGCAGCTGTGTGTGCTGCTCCAGCTGTGTGTGTGCTGCAGCTGTGTGTGTGCTGCAGCTCTGTGTGTCTGCTGCTCCAGCTGTGCGCCGCTCCAGCTGCGTGCTCTGTTTTGCAGATGTCGGGGAGCCAGCCGCAGGTGGGACAAGGTGCGCCCTGCCTCACTGCTCCAGCTGTGTGCTGCTCCAGCTGTGTGTGCTGCTCCAGCTGTGTGTGCGCCGCTCCAGCTGCGTGCTCTGTTTTGCAGATGTCGGGGAGCCAGCCGCAGGTGGGACGAGGCGCGCCCTGCCTGCGCTGCCGGGGGCTGTGCACGGGCTTCGAGCCGCACTCCTGGAGGTAACGTTGGTCCTGCCCGATCCTGCCTGAAATGGGCTGCTGCTGACACAACACCTTGTAATGATGCTCCATTCCCAGCTTTTCCTCTTAAAACCACAGATTCGGGTACATAGCCCCTGGTAGCAGCAGCACACCAGGACAGTGCCCAGCTCAGGGCAGGGGCTGCTCCCTGCCCCAGCAGGACAGCAAAGGGGCTGTGAAACGGAATGCAGACATCCAGATGTCACTCATTAAAAGACAATCATTGCCCTCTGTGCTGCCTCACAAACATTGGGCTCCTCTGTGCTCCTGGGAGCTCCCCAGGGTGCTGGGCCCGTGGTGGTGGGGCAGGGAGGCTGTGGTCCGGCTGTGCTGCTGCAGCTGGAATGCCTGGGATGCCTTCAGCTCCCCTTGTGATGCCTCAGTTGTGTGAAATCCAAACTTTAAAGCACTCATTTGGTGGAAGTATAGCCATTTTTTTAATTGACTCCATTAAAGGCTGGCTGGACTCATTCTTACTCCAAGTTCCTGCTGAAATCCTCGGGGTTGTGTCAGAGTTACTTTGCCCCTTTTGCTATTAGTGTTTGATGGCAGTGCTGGCCACCAGAGTGTTCTTACACACTTGTCTGTGTGATTTATACCCATTATCATTCAAATTACAGTCAATTAAGCATCAATTCCTTCCAGCGGTCACTTTTTTAATGGCATGTAAAGATTCATAATAGGCAAGGCTGGTGCTGGTCTGTTGGAATCTGGTGAGGAGAATTATCTCCAATCTTGTGATGCTTGAAGGGGTTTCCAGAGTTCAGGGGAAGAAGCAGCTCCCCGTGGGTGAGAGGCAGCAGATTTTGCAGTGCCAGGACACAGGGAATGTGCCAGACACACTGTCAGAGGGCAGGGATGGATGGGATATTGAGAATCAGGAATTGTTCCCTGGGAGGGTGGGCAGGCCCTGGATCCCTGGCAGTGCCCAAGGCCAGGTTGGACACTGGGGCTGGAGCACCTGGGACAGTGGGAGGGGTCCCTGCCATGGCAGGGGTGGCACTGGGTGGGATTTGAGGTCCCCCAACCCAACCCAACCCAACCCATCCCATCCCATTCCCCCTGAGCCTTCTGTCCGTGCCACGAGCCCAGGCCGTGTGTGCCCCTGGGCAGAGGCTGGCAGCCCATGCCCAGCTCACCCTGGGCGCTCTCTCGGGCTCTCCCAGGAAGATCTGCAAGTCGTGCAAGTGCAGCCAGGAGGAGCACGGGCCGAGCTCGGAGCTGGACGATGACCGCAAGGTCGGGCGGCTGCTCGCGGGCTCCCGGCACGCCTCGCTCACCGCCCGCCTCAAGGGCGGCGACGGCGCCCGCGTCTACAAGAGGAACCGCATGATCGTCACCAACCCCAACGTCTCGGGCAAGGACCCCACCTTCGACACCATCACCTACGAGTGGGCTCCCCCCGGCCTCACCCAGAAGCTGGTAAGGGCACCCGGGGGGCTGGGAGCAGAGCTGTGCCCTGCAATGGGTATGGGGAGAAACAGGAACCGTGTGCGCCCCGGGGAGCAGAGGGGTGCAGAGCACTCGTGTTTGGAGCACTGTCAGTAAGCAGAGCTGGTGGGAGAGGGGGATGGAATGCCTTTGGGGTTTATGGGTTCGTTTACATTTCTAGCAGAGGTCTTAATGGGTTTTACAACTAGAAAGCTCTTAGTCTTTTGGTAAAGCCCATCTGCAGTAAAAGCATGGCTGGGGAGAGACCCCATCCCTGCTGTCCTGCTGCCCTGCGCAGCCCATGCCTGCTCCAAAGCCCCAGGCTGGATGTAAGAACGACTCCTCCAGGCCTTCTGGGGGTGCCTGGGCTGGGCAAGCAGAGGAGCAGGAGTGGGGCTGGTGGGCAGCTGGGTGGTTGTGCCCCAGGGCCCCTCCTCTCCTGCTCTCAGAGAGCATCCCTGTGCTGCTGGAGGAGTCCTTGCCTGGGGAGTGGGCTCGCAGGCCCATTCCTGGGGTCCCTCACAGTCCCTCTGATGAAGAACATCATCAGATGTTCTGCTGGCAGCCCAGGCCTGTTCCAGCAGCCTTGAGGAGCTTCCTGCCCCAGGAGCAGGGGTGGGAGGGCTCCCCATGCCCGGGTGTGAGCCTGGTGAGAGCTGAGCTCAGTGCCTGCAGCTCTGCCTGCGTGGGCAGCAGCTCTGCCCACTGCTGCTGCCAGCAGCACCACTCTCATCTCAGCCCTGGAGCTGGGGATTTCTTCCTTACAGTTTAAGCATAATCTGGTCCAAATAAAAACAGTGTTATAAAGAGAGCTCAGTGTAAAAAGGTGAGATAGGGAGTGTGGTCCCCTTCCGAGGGCTGGATCCAAAACCAAGCCCCCAGCCCAGCTCCACCTCCCTGCCATGCCTGGTTTCCATCTGGACCAGCTGTGTGGGAAGGGGTGGAAGTGGTTTTCAGCATGGGGAGGTGAGAGCCAGCAGAGCATTTCTTGTGGGAAAGCCTTTAGCTGGCTTTTCACTGTGCTGTGGTGTAAAACCTTCTGGGTGCCACTGTTAGGAGTGAGCAGTGAAGAGCTTCTGCTCCTCAAATGAAACAAATAGCTGCAAGCTATTGATACCAATCAACAAAAAAAGCTGCTGAAAATGCAACCAGAGACCTTTTTAAAGAAGTATTTGGGATATAGGTGTGAAAGTCCAGCTGCAGCCCCTACAGCCAGACTGGTTAATTTGGCTTAAAGCCAGTTGTCCTGTGGGCTTGGACAGGCTGGGTTGGGGCTGAGCTGTGTGCTGGGGATGCTTCATCAAGGCTCTTCCCTTCCCTTCCCGGAACCTTCCCTTCCCTTCCCTTCGCTTCCCAAGCCCCCAGCCCAGTCCCACCCTCCTGATGGGGGAGGTTCAAAACCTTTATGAAAGTTTTTGGTCTCTTTATGGTGCCAGGACAGGCTGGAATATCTCTTGGTTCAAGTAAACAAGGAGCAGGAGCTTTGGCGAAACCTTGATAAATTCTGGCTGGCAGAACAGCTTGACAAGCTTTGGGCAGAGGTGTTGGATGTCAGCCACTCTGGGGATGGTTTCAAAGGGACTTGGGCCAGAAGGCTGTTAGTGCACAACTGCCTGGCTCCAGGGCTTTCCTCCTGAAGGCAGGCTGCCAACCTGGGACGCCTTTTCACCTTGTTTTGCTCAAGTGGACGGTCAATAATAGGAGGAAGTTCAGAGCATTCTCGTTAAGCCGTGCCTGCAGACGTCATGAAGCAGATACTTAGGTCCTTGGAGACAGTGAAAAGAACAGATCATAAAATAGCCCCAAGATCCAGTGGTGAGCAGTGAAAACTAAAATGCTCTTCCTCCAAATTACTTGCACTCAGGCAGCCTAGTGAAGCCCTGGCCATAACAGTAAGTGATAGCAGCAGATGTAGCAATTTCTTCTTATTCTTCATGGCAGTTTTTGGTGTCAGGTTGGACTTTTTGGACTTTTTCCCCTAGTCTTTTCTCTGGACGCATTTTTATTGACATCTACAATTATAACTTCAAGCATTCCCTTGAAATCTCACTGCCTGTCTGGGCAGGTACTGAAACCTGCCCCTGAGCAGGCTTTAAGTAAGCCTTGAAAAAAGCCTTGAGGCTTTGCTTTCCTCACTCTCAGCACAAACACTTTGTGTTGGGAATGAAGATCCCGGAGGTGGGGCAGACCAGGAGGCTCCAGGTGCCTGTGCTGGCCCCTTGCTCTGGTGTAAATGTTCATTAGTCTTGGCACATCAGTGGATTGAGGTTTCTCCCCACGTTGCTGCTCTGCTGGAGCTCTGCTGTGCTGGTGGTCCTGCTCTCACAGCATCAGTTCAGTTGTTTCCTGTCCACTTGTGGGGCAGAGCCTGGGAGGAGCAGTCAGGGAATCCTTGTCTCTTTCTCCTCATTCCTCTTGGGATTCCTAAGGTCTGTGAAAGCCATTTGTGCACCAGGTCACTGCCCAGCATCCCACAGCTCCCCAAGCAGCTCTTCCCAAACTCCACCTTGTCCCACAGGGCAGCAGCCTTCCCAGGAAACTGGACATCAGCCCTGCCTTGCACAGGGGCACAATGCACCATGCTCGTGCCTGATATCCCAGTGTGCAGTGATTTAACTTGCACCCCAAGAGGGGGAAGAAGCCCTGCCTCTGTGGAATCATTATCTGCTGCTGTTGCACATTTCCTGTCAGGAATTCCGCCCATAGCAGCGCTCTCTGCCTCACAGGAGCCAGGCTGGAAGGCACTTGGAAGTTTTTCCTGACATGCTGAAGAGTTCAGCGCTGGGCAAGCATTTCTGTGTGGAAAAGCCCAGCCTGAACCAGCCTGTGTGCCACAAACAGTTCAATCTCTTTGCTAAGTTCTTTAAGCTGGAGTTCTCAAGTGCTGACCCAGTAAGAAGGAAATCTAATGCAGCTGGATGCTGGTCTAGCAGGGAATGGCAGGGAGCCAACTGGCTGCCCTGTCCCTCTTCACACTACAATAGGAAAATGCCGGAGTGGGAAACTCCCTTCCCCTGCTCGGGCCAGGAGCAGTTAACTGTGCAGCCCCCGAGGCCCACGGGCACCAACCAGCCTCGGACTGAGAGGGGTTTATCTGCTGCTGAGGTCCTGTTAAATCAGAGCCTTCATTTGGGGCACTTTCTGGGCATTTCCTTCCTGTGTCACAGGGCATCGGTGACCAAACCCTTCCCTCTGCTGTGAAACCAGCAGTCAGGTGGAACTGGTCCGTGTCACAGACTCGCTGCTAGCTGCATTCTTCCTGTGTTATGATGATTTCAGTACTGTGTGTCCCGTGCAGTGCATGGCTGTGTGTCCCCTGCAGGCCATGCAGCGCTGTGTGTTCCCTGCAGGCCATGCAGTGCTGTGTCCCCTGCAGGCCATGCAGCGCTGTGTGTCCCATGCAGTACAAGGCCCCTGTGTCCCCTGCAGGCCATGCAGTGCTGTGTGTTCCCTGCAGGCCATGCAGTGCTGTGTGTCCCATGCAGTACACAGTCTGTGTGTCCCACGCAGGCCATGCAGCACTGTGTGTCCCCTGCAGGCCATGCAGCGCTGTGTGTCCCATGCAGTACAAGGCCCCTGTGTCCCCTGCAGGCCATGCAGTGCTGTGTCCCCTGCAATACACAGTCTGTGTGTCCCCTGCAGGCCATGCAGTACATGGAGCTGGTGCCCAAGGAGCTGCAGCCCGTGGCGGGCACGGAGGGCGCCTGGCAGCGGCGGCGGCGGCTGGCACGGCAGCTCCCGCTGCACGACCAGGACCCGGCGCAGTGCCGCGGCCTGGCCGAGGGCGAGCAGCAGCTCATGCACGACTTCGTGACGAGGTACAAGGCCGAGGCCCTGGGCGTCGGGGAGGTGGCGCTGCCGGGCCAGGGCGGCGGGAAGAAGGAGGAGGAGAAGGCCCAAGAGAAGGGCATGGAGCCCAGCACAGCCCCCGAGTCACCCAACGGGGCCCTGGAGGGCACGGCCGGGCACTACGTGAGTGAGGGATGGGAGAATGGGATAATGGGATGGGACAGGACGGGACGGGATGGGATGGGATGGGATAATGGGACGGGAGCTCTGGGGCTGCTCCAGGCTCAGCGAGCCACTGGGAATAGATTTGGTCTCCACTCCAGGGGCAAAACCTCACAGCCAGCAGGGTGATCTGTGCCTTGTCCCCATCCTGCTCCCAGGGCATTCCCCATGCCTGCTGCAGGCTCGGTCACATCACGATGCTTTGGAGCAGCACTGTGAGGGCCTGGAGGGCTCCTCTGCTCCAGCCAGCCCTGCTGAGCACAAGGGTCCATTGGCAGGGCTGATGAGGGGCGTTCTCCTCTTCTTCATCTCCTTTCTCTGCAGCAAAAGCCTTGCTGGGCCACCAAGGCCGGGGAAATCTCGCTGTGGGAGCTGGTTTGAGCTCTGGGTTCTTGGCAGGTTGAAAGGTTGGGCATGACACGTTCCTGGGTGATGTGGGCTGCGTTTCAGTTGAAAGCTGAACTTGATGATCTTGGAGGTCTTTTCCAACCTTCACTATTCTGTGATGCAAGTCAGTATTTCCAAGTAGGCTTCTTACCCCATAAGACCTCAGATGGCAGGAGGTGAGGGCTGTCCAGTTAGCAGAGCTGTGAACATGGAGATGGTGTTCCCAGGGCTGTAATCACCCTGGGGAAATGGAAACAGCTGCCCTGGGTCCCTGGGCACACAAATACATTTCCACAGTGAAATGGCTGAGATTCCTCAACACCCTTTTAGATTTATATCCCCCCAGCGCTGTCTGGAGTGCTGCTGAGCAGATGCTCATCATAAAATATGGTGAGTGGAAATACCTTGTCCTGGTCCTTGTGAGGGTGACTTGCAGCAGAGGATTTAAAGCTGGAAAAGCAAATGGTGTCCAAGTGGTTTTAAGAGGAGATTCTTTCTGCCATTCCTGCACTGAGGTTGTACATGAAAGAGCAGTTTTCATTTTCAGTCCATATTGGGTAATGTCTCCCCTCTGCCATGGTCTCTTAGCGTACTGCTGACTTTGAATCCAGTGGCACGGTAAGGATTTTCACTGTTGCAACAAAACACTGAATTTTAAGATAAAAAATATCCAAAAAAGGAAGGTTTCCTTTAAACACATCAATAAGTCATCCTAGCAATGAAGGTTTACTTAAACTGTGAGTTTGTCCTTTCAAATAAATAAATACATAACTGTGATGTTATTCTCCATAGTTTGAAGCATCATTTCTCTCAAGGCACGAGCTGAAAAATGGAGCAGCTTTCAGAGCAGTGGCAGATCCTCTGGGACAGCCAGGCTGAGCAGCCCAGGCATGGCAGAGCCGGGGAGGACTGAGGACACTGACCCCACGTGCCTCCACATCCCTGCTGCAAGTCTGTCCCACGGGATGGGTGCTCTCACAGAGCTCAGAATCCTGACCCCCACAGCTGGGGACTCCTCTGGTGTTAAAGGTTTGATTCCTGCCCTGGAATCAAATCCAATCCTGAGGCAATTGATCCAAATTAATCACTGTTCCCAAAAGCCTGAGGCCAGCAATGCAGGGAGAGCTCAGAGTGCTGGTGGTGTCTGGGGGCTCCTTCCCTGGGAGCTGGCACTGCAGAGCAGGAGCTGGGCATGAGCAGGTGGGAAAGCCAAGAGAACAGGACACTTTCTTGGCCAACACCTCAGCTAATAAAGTGTTCACTCCTCTGCCTGCATGATGGAGATGTAGGAGCACCAAGCTGTAATCCCACCTCAAACCTGAAGGATCACCTCTTTGTAGTGTGTAAATAGCAGGATGTGGAGGTTATACAATGCTTGGGAAAAGCCTTGTGAATAGATTTTCCCTGTGAATAATTTCCATAGAAAGAAACAGCAAAATAAGTTGTTTTTTTAACAGTTCTTGCTGGCAAGAAACTTGAGCTCAGCGCTGGAAGCTGCAGTGTTTGTTCTTGCTTTAGATCCTGCAAGATAAGCAGGGCTGGCTGCTGGGGCTGTGGCCCCTTGGGGCTGGCAGGGCAGAGGCAGCTGTGGGGTCTGGCTCTGGGCTGACCCCAAATCTGGGGCCTCAGGGAGGCGTTGGGAAAAGGCCTGGGTCTGGTGTGGTGGGTGCAGAGCCCTCGGTGTGATTGATGGCTGCAGGAAGGTCAGTGACCCACCAGGGAGAACCCAACCCAAACCATTCTGTGGTGCTGTCATTGTACCTGTTAGAAGCTGTTGACTTCAATTGGGGTGTTTTTACTCGTCATCTGACCACAGGGCCATTGCCATCCCTGCCCCTGTGCCACCTGGAGGGGACCCTGCTGTGCCAAGGCTCTGGTGGGGCACAGCAGTGTAACCACAGCCCCTGTGACACACAGGCTGCTCCCAGCTTCAGTGGGAGCTGGAGCAACATCCTGCCAGCCTCTGAGCGGAGCTTTAAGGCTGGCCCTTCACTAATCACAGGATTGCTCTGCAGGCACAGATAAAGAGCAGGCCTACTTTGTCTGGTGTCTAATGTGCATGGATGCCATTAATCTTGAGATTAATCACATCTAATGCTGGCTCTTTGGCCTGTTAGAAATAGAAAACACTTGCTGAAGTCTGTGGGGTGACAGCTGAGTTAGGCACAGACAGAAAACAGTGGGAAAAGACCAAAGCTCCTGATCTCTTTTCAGATTTACATCTCTGATGTGCTGCACTGTGGGAATTCTTAACTTCTTCTGGGAGAACCTTTGTATTTTGGTGGGGGTTTTGTTTGGGAGGGTCCCAGAGGCGGCTCAGAATGAGCGGCCCAGCAGTGTGTGTATCAGAACGAGCGGCCCAGCAGTGTGTATCCCCTGCCCACGCTGACCTGCACCCTCCCTGCAGCGCTGCGAGGCGTGCCAGCAGCCCGTGCCCGGGGACTGCCCCGTGGTGTACGCCGAGCGCGCCGGCTACTCCCGCCTGTGGCACCCCGGCTGCTTCGTGTGCTGCCGCTGCGCCGAGCCCCTCGTGGACCTCATCTACTTCTGGAGGAGCGGGGCCGCCTGGTGCGGCCGCCACTACTGCGAGAGCCTGCGGCCCCGCTGCGCCGGCTGCGACGAGGTACGGACGGGGATGGAGCCCTGGGCCGGGGGAGAGGGACCTGGGCCAATGGGATCCCCTGGGCCAGGTGGGGAACAACCAGAGCCCCTGGGATCCCCTGGGCCAGGGGGGAGTGACCTGGGCAAATGGGATCCCCTGTGCCGGGGGAGAGGGACCTGGGCCAATGGGATCCCCTGGGCCAGGGGGGAGAACAACCAGAGCCCCTGGGATCCCCTGGGCCAGGTGGGAATCAGCTGGGGACTCCTCTGGTGTTAAAGGCTTGATTCCTGCCCTGGAATCAAATCCAATCCTGAGGCAATTGATCCAAACTAATCACTGTTCCCAAAAGCCTGAGGCCAGCAATGCAGGGAGAGCTCAGAGTGCTGGTGGTGTCTGGGAGCTCCTCTGATCCCCCCTGTGCTGTGTGGGAGCCACCAGTGGCCCTCTGCTCCTGCCAGTGCCAGGCTCAGCCAGGGCTTCTGAGCAGCCTGTGCCAGGGGAGGGTGTCCCTGTCCCGGGCAGGGGGGTGGGACAAGGTGACCAAGGGGAAGGTGTCCCTGCCCTGGGTAGTGGGGTCAGACAAGGTGACCAGCCTGGATTAGTGGAAGGTGTCCCTGTCCCAGGCAGGAGAGTGGGACAAGGTGACCTTCACAGGTCCCCTCCAGCCCAGGCCATCCTGGGATTATTCTGTGTACCCATTCCTGAGCTCCACGGCTGATGGGCTTGGTGGGAGCTGTGGGGTGCCTCTCCCTGCTCCTGCCATGCTCCAGCTTGGTGGGGTGGTGGAAATGAGCAGTTGTCCGTCTGTCTGTCTGTCTGTCCCGTAGATCATCTTCTCGGAGGACTACCAGCAGGTGGAAGGGCTGGCCTGGCACCACAAGCACTTTGCCTGCCTGGAGTGTGAGACGCTGCTGACGGGCAAGCCCTTCACCCTGGCCAACGCCAGCCTGCTGTGCAGCACCTGCAGCCAGAGCAGGGCCTGAGCAGGGCCAGAGGGGCTCCCACCTGGACTGGGGGCATTGGGAAACACAGCACGAGGGGAAGGCTGCCAATTTAAGAGTCTGACTGTGCCCTGTGCCCTGGCATCCAGCACAGCGTGAGGAAGGTGTTTCCTTGGGGCCCTCTTGGATCTGCCAGGGAGCCCTTGTGCCCACGTGTACCTGCCAGGAGCACCTGGAGAGGAAAGCAAAGGAGGGGCTGGGCTCTGCTGGCTTTTGTCAAGTCTGTCCAACCTTCTGATGACTAAGATCTTGCAATAGTCTTTTGGAAATAACACATCTCAGCAGTAACTTCTGGCATACTAAACCTAGAGTTGTGGTCAAAAACAAGGGGTGTTTGTGGTTTTTAAATCCCTACTGGAATTAGGCTAACAGGCTGCTGCCACTGTGCCAAGGCAGTGGGTTGGAGGAATGTGATCGGCTTGCTGAAAGCAATGGTGTAAAATTGCAGCCACACGCAGCTGGGGCTTTGTCCTGTGCAACAAAAAAAGCCAAGGAGTGGGCACAGGGGGCAAGGGGCTCACCCTGGTGAGAGGGCAGGGCAGGCTCTGCTGGTCACTGGCTGACTCAGCCCCTGGAGCTGCTGCCCTGGAACTGGAACGTAAAGAATTTTGTGGAAAACAGCTTTATCAGCTGTGCTGGGGGGCACAGTGTGTGTCTGTGTGTCCCTGGGATGCTGCAATGCCACTTCTTCCCTGCAATACCTCAGTGACCCTTCCAGGTGCCAGGCAGCTGGACCTTCCTGCGTGGGGAACACTGGGGACTCTGGGGTCCCGCTGGGGACTCTGGGGTCCCACAGGAGCCAGGGGAGGGAGCAGGGCCAGGGGCTGAGGTGCAGACAGGGCTAAGCTCTCTGCCAGCCCCATGGGAGGCACTCCTGCTGCATTTGGGGACCCACATGGACACACGAGCATTTCAGAGCTGGCATTTTCAGCAGAACCCTGGTTTGGGGGTAACCCTCCCCTGTCCCTGCCTGGAGAGCTCCGGGGGAAATGGGATCCCCTCCAGTGCAGGCAGGGCTAAAAGCCAGCCAGCCTCAGGGGGTGGCATGGAGAAGAGGTGGTGCCAGGCTGCAGAGGAATGCAGGTGGGAGCCTGGGCAAATGTCAGAGCAGAGGCACAGGGAGAGCAGGGCTTTGGGGGCAGAGCAGGGCTTTGGGGACAGCCCTGGGTGGAGCCCTCTGACAGGAGCGGGGCCAAGTTCACTTTATTCACAATGAAAGACTCCTTGGAGACCTTGTAGACCCTTCCAGACCCACAGGGCTCCATGAGAGCTGCAGAGGGGCTGTGGACAAGGCGTGGTGGTGGCAGCCCCGTGCAGCATGTTCTGAGCTGTGATTTTGTGATGTAGAAATTGTAATTTGTGAAGTCCCTGCTCCAGCACACACTGACTGCCTTCAGGCTTTGGGACTGCTGGCACCTGCTCAAGCCTTGCAGGTATTTCTGCAGCTCATAAAATACTGCCTGCTAAAGAAATTTACTGCAATTAAACAGCTTAACAAAATCCTGTGCCTCTCCAGTGTCGGGAGCAAAAGCGTGAAATTAATGCATCAAACAGCTCGGAACATATGGGAGCCTTTAGTGCTGATACTGGAGCTGAAATTCAGGGTGGCCACGGGCTGATCCTCTCAGCAAGGAGCATTTTAACTGGGGGGCTGCAGCGGACAGAGCCCGTCCTGCCCTGGGATGGCCAGGGCAGCCAGCACAGGGAATTTGTGCCTCCTGTGGGAGCATCCAGCCCCAATTTAAACTCAAGCATTCTGTGTAGTTGTTCTAAGTATGACTGACAGTACATTTGAATGTTCCTAAAACTTTAAATAAAGTATTTTGGATATAAAACCCCTTCACCTGTTCCCCCAGTGCCGACCCAGCCAGGAGCAGGGGTGGGAGAGAGGGAGGGCAGAGCCTCCCTACAGAGAAATAACCTCTGCCTGGGCAGAAGCCCCATTTCAGCAAATGCTTTGCAAGCTGAAGTTTTTCAGAGTTAACTGCTCTGAATCTGCAGATATTTGCAGTGCTGTCTCATTTGTGGTCCCCCTTTTTTTGAAGAAATTTTGCGCTCTACTAGCGTGAGGAAGGCTACTGCAATTAAGATTGGGAGGGCAGAGGAGAGGGCTATGATGAGGTTGATTAAGAGAGCGTAGTTAGTCGTGGGAGATGGTTTGAGTTAAGCTAGGGAGAGATTTGAGCCTCTGAGTTAAATGCTTCTGGAACTGTGCAGAAATTCCCTGTGTGAGGGGAAACTGCAGTGGCTGTGTCCCTGCAGAGCCCAGGCTGGGGCTGCCCTGGTGCTGCTCAGGCTCTGCTCTGCACCATTCCCGGCCAGAGAACCATCAGCCTTCTCCTGCGGGGCTTGTGTCCAAAGGCAGCTCTGTGCCTGGGCACCTCCCCAATGAGGGATGCAGACCTGATTGATTGGAATGGAAGGGATCCCTGTTACCTGCCTGGGTGTAACAAACAGCCATGGAGGAGGTGTTGATCCTGGGTAAAACTCAGTAAGAACCTGATCCTGGGGTGGAGGACAATCGCCTTAAACAGAAACTTTTAAGGGGCTTTATTAGGCAGTCAATTCTGAAAAGATGTGATTTCAGACACCTGTAACTAATAAACCTCAAAATTCAGTGGCTGCGGGCGAGAAAAACATAAACCAAGGCAGAGTGAGTTGGCTGTATAAACACTACAATAAAACTTGCTTAAAAGCTCCAGAGAGAAAAACGCAGAGGTGAAAAAGCAACTATTCATGAAGACAGGGTGCATTTCGGTGGAAACTTCCTGAGACCTGCAGCAGCTGCTGCTTCAGGGCAGAGCTAAAGAAAGCCCCTGTGGCTGGGTGTTCTCCTGTAAAAAGTGAGGTTGTGTTTATATAAACCTAATTTGAGCTTGAGTTTATTTTTCAACTCCCTTTCTTCAGCCAATTCACCAAAAAAATCACCCTCTCCACAGTGAGGGTTTTGTAGATGTTGCCTGATTTCATAAAATGCTACCAAAAAAAATGCTGACATCACCTGGAGCAAACCAGGAACAACGGGAACTGTGTTTAATGTGGCTCCAGAGAAAGATTGGTGCAGGGCCAGCTCACAGTGCCCTGTGGCAGTGCCTGGCCCAGGGGTGGCAGCAGGAGCCTGTCCTGTGAATTCCCCTGTCCCAGGGGCTGTGCTGCCTTGCCTTTGCTGCCTTTTTTCTGCTCCTGCCTTTCCTCTGCTCCTGCCTTTTCTGTGCTGCTTTCCTCTGCTCCTGCCCTTTCTCTACTCCTGCCCTTTCTCTGCCCCTGCCTGTCGTCTCTCTCAGAGCCAGGGCTGCTCCAAGGAGCTGTGAGCAGATGCTGTCTGTGTCTGGCAGCTCCTGCTCCGGATGCTGCCATGTCAAGGAAACACCTCCACATCCTCTGGGCAGAGTTAATATTTGGACAGTGTTAAAATACAACCAGCGCTGCTCAGCTCAGTGCTACCACACAGCTGCAGAGCTGGGCCCTGGCTGTGCCCCAGCCCTCCCCAGCCTGGAGGCACTGCCTGGCTCCCCTCCCACGGCTCGGGGCTGACACCAGCCCTGGGATTCAAGCAGAACACACTGGGATATCTGAATATCGGAATGTCTGCACCAGGAGTGCCTGAGCACTGCCCGCAGCACAGGACCAGCAGGGCTGAGGAGAAAAACAATCAGGCTGGTCAGGCACAGTATTACCAGAGTGGCCCTGCAAGCACTGGTGTTTTCTGTCTCAAAAATAGAGAAGGAGCCTGAGGGTGATCTGTGCTCTGAGTATTCCTGGGGCTCTGCTGGCCCTCAGTAGCCCTGGCTGGCAGGGGGAAGGAAGGCTGTTCCTATCCAGCTGCTCTTATCCAGCTGTTCCCATCCGGCTGTGCCCATCCAGCTGTGCCCCTCTGCAGTTCAGCCTGCCATTGCTCCTGTCAGCACACTGAGCAAAGGCTGGCAAAGCTGGGGCCATGGTTTGCCAGTCCTGGCAGGGGGAAATTGGGCTGGACTCCCCTGTGTGCCCAAAGAGAGGAGCCTGAGCCTGGCTGCCAGTCCGGGCAGAAGGGGGGCTGTGAGAAAAGCCCCAGCCCTGTCCCCTTGGGCAGCACGCCCTGAGTCACAGGGCAGGGGCCATGCTGTCCCCCAGGTTTGGGTCCTTTCCCCCTCAGTTTGGATCCTGTCCCCAGGTTCAGGTCCTGTCCCCTCAGTTTGGATCCTGTCCCCAGGTTCAGGTCCTGTCCCCTCAGTTTGGGTCCTGTCCCCAGGTTCAGGTCCTGTCCCCTCAGTTTGGATCCTGTCCCAGGTTCAGGTCCTGTCCCCTCAGTTTGGGTCCTGTCCCCAGGTTCAGGTCCTGTCCCCTCAGTTTGGGTCCTGTCCCCAGGTTCAGGTCCTGTCCCCTCAGTTTGGGTCCTGTCCCAGGTTCAGGTCCTGTCCCCTCAGTTTGGGTCCTGTCCCCTCAGTTTGGGTCCTGTCCCAGGTTCAGGTCCTGTCCCCTCAGTTTGGGTCCTGTCCCCAGGTTCAGGTCCTGTCCCCTCGCTGTCGGCTCTCACCAGGAGCTGTGGTTGGGCACCACAAGGCCTGGAACAGCCCCATGAGGAGGAGCCCGGGCCCAGGGCAGTGTCTGTCCCACAGCAGCCCCTCAGCTGCAGGACAGGCTGGGGGATTCCAGGCAGAGAACAGAAGGCTCAGTTTCAGTTTGTGGCACAGGCTGCGTGCAGGGGCTGCAGGAACACAGAGAGAGCTCTGGGGCTCTTTTCCCCTCAAACAGGGGCTGTAACCCCACACCAAGAGGAGCTCCAGGGTCCTTTCCAGCCAGCACCATGCTGTGGCTCCAGGATCCCTCCTCTCCTCACCACCAGAGCCCTGTGCTCTCCCCCCTGCAGGAAGGTCCATCCCAGAGCCCAGGGACTTTGGGAAACCCCCAGCATTAGGCACAGTCACTTTATCAAGATTAGTTAATTAAAGGCCACTTGGAGATTTGGAGATTTCCAGAATATGTTCAGTGCCTGTAAAGTCACCAGAAAAGAAAAATTATTTTCCTTGGATTTGAAAAATGACCTTTCCTGCCCC